CGTTTTTAACACTTTTATACCATAAAACTCAAATTATTTTTAATTATCCCATTAGGTCACATTTAGTGTACTCTCCCCCATTCTAAAAACAAAACTATTCCTATTCCTCATATCTTCACTCCAAAAAAAATGCATTAACTACATACCACTATTTAATGTTGATATTTATTACATACAAAAAATTAAACATAGTTCTTTATTGATTGTCATTATGTTTTGGTAGTTCCCATGCATTTAAATGTTGATTGTACGTGATGATATGAATATTCACATTAGATAACGTGAATGTGAATGTTTATATTAGATGATGTGAATGTTCACATCAAATGACATTGTGATAAAGGTGATGTTAAGGTTCATATCAGCATTGCATCAAATTACACAACTACAAATCTCAACTTTCATTTGAATATAAATATGATGTAAATGTTCACACTAAAACATATGAATGTGAATGTTTACATGAATTTTGGAATACAAAAATTAACATTATGAACATTAAAATTTGTATTCACATTCATATGTTTGTGTAAACATTCACGTCATTTGATATTAACATTATGAACATTAACATTTGTATTTACATTCATATGTTTTAGTGTGAACATTCACGTTATCTGATGTGTACATTCACATTCACATTCACGTTATCACGTACAGTTAACATTTGGATGCATGAGAACTACTAAAACATCAGGGCCGGCCCTGACTTATTAGGGGCCTAAGGCGAATTTTTTAAATTGGGCCCTTCATATGTCATTATCTAAAAAAAAAAAATTGTTTAGATAAACGGATAAAAATTTATTTCTATTGCATTACAATTTAACAAAATTTAGATAACAAATATATATATATATATATATATATAATAGTTGAATTTCAATTAGTTGAATCGAATTTTTATTTTTTAGCTTACCAATACTATAAGAACTAAAATTAATTGGGGGTAAGGATGCGAATTTTTTACACAACTCAAGCAATATATAAAATTAGTAAGTTAAGGTTGACTATTTTTCAACATGAATCCAAGTATGACACAACTCAATAATATGAATTATTAGTTATATATTTTAATATTCACTAAGGGAAGCCATGATAATTTTTTAATCTTTTATTTAACTCCATCTAACTGAATAAAAAAAAGTATGTAAAATAATAATTAAGGCTAATATCTTTTTTTCATTTAAGATATATTTTTTTTGTTACTTATTTTAAAGTCAATCTAGTAAAAAAATATAGTAATAAGGTACAATTTTTTTTAATTAGAAAAATGCAATTGAATTAAAATTAAACATTTTATGAATAATTTCATTTAGTAGAAATAAATTTTTATAAAATTCAACTTATGGGAAAAATTTTAATCCCTCCATACACTTGCTAAGTTAATTTTAACTAAAAGTGAAAGTTTTCACATTAAATATCAATCGGACACAAATCAAAATAACACCATACGATAACATGATAATAAATGAATTGAGCTAGTATTGAAGTAATTATGAAATAACACAATATGATACACTCCCTTAATTAGGGGCCCTAAATTTTGTTCAAAATTGGGGCCCGAGGTGACCGCCTTAGTCGCCTCACCCCAGGGCCCGCCCTGCAAAACATAATGACAATCAATAAATAACCATGTTTAATTTTTTGTATGTAATGTATATAAATATTAAACAGTGATGTATAGTTGATGCATATTAACATTAAATATAATGGTATTAGACTCTAAGAAAATAATAGAAATAAAAAAAAAAGACCTTATGGAATAAAGGTATAAATCCATGAGACTAGGTTGGATAAATTTCCTTCATGGACTTCTTGGATTAGAACACTACCAAATAGGATTTATCATTAAAAATCCCTTTTATTAATTAACCATTACATCAATTAACAATTTTAATGATATCAGTAATATATTTCAATTAACCGTTTTGATACTGTTGCATTGAAGGGAAATTAAGTAATTTCATGTTTTATGTTAACTTTGTTAAAAGATAAATTCTGATAAGAAAAAACATATATAATTTCTACAATTATAAAATAATTTATATTTTAAACAATATTTTCCAAACTGTAATTATAATTTATCAAATTAAAATCACCATGTACTTCTTTTATTATTAGAATTAAAATGACATGCCACCATGTCCTGTTAAACGAACTTATGAGATGCTCCATTGGTCTGAAAAATTGTTAGTCCTATAGCCAATTTCATACGGCATTATTAGTAGAATTTGGGTCCCCAACCATGGTTTAAGAAGAAAAGCAAGGAGGGAATCATGGCAATGATTGCCAGAATGAGATGGACCCATTTGATTATCTCTTCTTTATTAAAATTTTTTATTTATTTTTTATTTTTTATTTTTTGACTCGGAGGATATTGGATCCCACACTTTAAAAAAAAAAAAAAAAAAAAAAATTATGATTATGAATAAAAAACTCTACGATATTAAAAAAAGGAACAGAAATCGTTGGTGTCTCAAATTGAGTTGCTTCAAATGACTTAAATTGGTGTTCACGGGTCAACTAACCAGACGACCACCCAGACGACCAGGTGAAACATTTGTTTACTACAGTTGTCACCTTGTCAATCGCGGCTTTCAGCTTTTTTGCCAGACAAACGATAAAATGAAATTCAAGCCATTCAAGGCAAGCTCAAATTTGAGGTACATAACATTTCTCAAAAAAAATTCAAAGTTTCACTATGGATATTGATGTGTGAATTAAATTTTTCGTTTGGCCAGGGCTTTTGTGACTATTTTAGCCACAAAAGACAAAATAGACTATTTTAGCCACAACAAACAAAACATCACATCCAATCCATAATCATTACACTATTTTCTCACAAAAAAATTCAAAAAAGTCAAAAAATTCTTCCCAAATCAAGCTTTTAGCCCAGGTTAAAATAGCTAAAAAAGTCAAAAAATTAAAAAGCCAACCTACTTCTCAAACGGAGACTAAATTATATATAATGGAACCTTTATTAAAATGGAGATCTATTATAAAATCATTTTTCAAGTGTTTGTATTCTAATTAATCCATAAGATATTCTTGTATTCCAATAAATCTTATTATTTGAACATTTGATCTACCAAATCCTAATTCTCATATTTAAAGTATTTTGTGGACATTTCTACCCTTACAAATATTTTTCGAACGGTTAGCAATTTGGTGACGTGAACATTCATATTTTACAATGTAAATATTCACATTGACGTGTTAATGTTCACATTGATAGTGTGAACATTGACATTGATGGTGTGAATATTCATATTGACGATATAAACATTCACATTGATAGTGTGGACATTCACATTACAGAATATTTATACTGTAAATATGAATATTATTAGAGATATTTTGATAATTATGCCACTCATAAGATTTATTGGAATATAAAAAAATAATATAAATTAAATAAAATATAAGTAAAAAAAAATTTATGAAAAGGGGCCCCTTATTAAAATCAATCTCGTTCCTTCAATATTTTTTATGAGCTTTTTTCTGAGAAAAATTTCTTATATCCTAACACTGTTACTTGTGGATTTTTTTAACCTAAAATAAGCATGAAAATGCTTGTGAATATCAAAAGATCACGTGAAAACTCACACCTGATAATGTAAGAACTAACCTAGTCGTGTAACTCGTGGGATTGGTTTGCTAATGTTTACGTTTATAATAAATTTGAAAATTATAAATAAAAATTTGTTGGGTGTGTTTTTATTTTTTAATAATTATAAATAATTTAAAATTTTTATTGTAACCTAAAATATATTTTTTAATTGATTTCAAAAATAAATTTTTTATTCAATTTTAATTTTTTACTTAAATTTATAATTCAAATTCAGCCTAAATCACCACCTAAGCATCCAATGCTCATAAGTTAATCATCATCGGCCACCATATCTAACCACGCTCCATCTTTGGCCAATGACACCCGTCAACAATCACCTCCAACTACAACTTTTGATGGTTGACAACCATCTATAGCCATCGCTAACCATCTCCTATTAGTGGTCACATTTGATTATCAAAAATCACCTTTACTAGTTATTTTCATTGATTGCCTTTAACGGTCGACAATCACCTCTTATAAATAACTTCTTTTTATTTATTTTTAAAATAAAATTTTAAAACACGAATGTACTAAGCATTGATGGATGGGGGGGACTCCCAAAAATTTGAAAAATATCATATATTATATTAGAAATATGGAAATAATTTAAAATTATAGGAGTTCGCACTCTTAAATTTATTTTAGATAATTTCAAAATTATATAGAATAGCCCAAACCCAATATTTTAAACTATAATTCAACCATCCAAAATCATAATCCTAGACTTGTCCCTAGTACTAATCATATATATATATATATATGTGTATATATATTTTTTGAAAATACAATTAGACATATTCATTTTTTTAAACAAAGAAAATAATAGAACCATAAACATTAAAAACATGGACAATATCATGAGCACAAAATAATTTTTAGTAATACTATAATCTCAAAAATTAAAAATAAATTTCATTTTAAAACTTCAATATATAATTTAAATTCATTTTATATTTAAATCTATATTATACCAATTTAGTTTTCATCGTACAAACACTTCATAGCATTCTGAGGCCAAAAATATGAGACACAAAAGTGTTTTGAGAAGATGATTAAAAATTATATTTTAATTTTTTAAAATTTTTTTATAAAAAAAAATAAATTAAACATTAAAAAATAACTTTTAAACACCTTTTCAAAATAACCATTATAAATGATTTTTGTACAGGGCACCACTGAATGATAAAAGGGCACCGCACGTGGAGTCTGAATCCAGAGACTCTCCAACCACAATAAAAACGACCCAAAAATTTCCAAAAAAATAAAAATAAAAATTCCCATATATGTAAAATGACAGTTCTACCCTCATAAGAGCAAAATTTTTCATAAAGAACACTCCTTCTCATTGGCTCATAGCCCACCCCCCATATAATTCCCACTCATTGTGTTTGTTGCTTAAAGCTTTGCTCCCCCACTACCTCCCTTATCTTTTCTCTCTCTCTCTCTTTCTCTCTCTCTCACCTCCAATCTAGAGAGATAAAACAAACAACCCACCTGCCTCCAGCTCCCATATGAATGGAATTACACCAATCTATACTTCTTGGAGAGAGAAAGAAACAGAGAGAAAGAGACCCACAAATCATCAAATTGAGGGTCAATCTACAGATGTACTAGCTACAAAAAAATATATATAATCATTTTCATGTATTCATACATATGATCATGGAAGCACAAAATGGTATGCGCTGGCCAAATTTCCCATTTCAATTACTAGAGAAAAAAGAAGAAGAAGAAGAAAAACAATCAATTTCCGCCGCCGAAAGTGGGGGCGAAACCACCACAAGCCGCCAGCAAGTGGTGGCGGATCCGACACCGCCACCCAAGAAGCCGCCACCGAAGAGGGCATCGACGAAGGACCGACACACCAAAGTGGACGGCCGGGGCCGCAGGATCCGAATGCCGGCGACTTGCGCCGCTAGGGTTTTCCAGCTGACAAGAGAGCTCGGCCACAAGTCCGATGGAGAGACCATCGAGTGGCTGCTCCAACAGGCGGAGCCGGCAGTGATTGCCGCCACTGGAACGGGAACAATTCCGGCCAATTACAGTTCTCTTAATATATCTCTCCGGAGTTCTGGGTCTAGTATGTCAGCTTCTTCCCATTTTAGAACGAGTTTGTTCGATCCGAATCTCTCCACGGCATCATTGCGGCCGCAGAGCAATTGGGAACGGAGTGTGGAAGAGTCACAGCGCAGGATTTTTTTCTCTGGCGCTGGAATCTCCCCGACAGCAGAGAATTCATCGAATTCATCGACATTGCTGAATTTTCATACTAGTACTTTGAATTCCATGTTACAAGCCAAGCAACTAGAGTTGCACGAGACAAAAAGGCCGCCACTGGAGCAAGATCATCCGGGGAGCTACATGTTGCATTCGAGTTCTGGTACAATTCCGGGGAGCTATGGGGCGGTGTCGCCACCGGGGTCAATGTGGATGATGAGCAATTCTAGTAACCAATTGCTTAACGGGGTTGGTGGTGGTGGTGGTGAACCGATATGGGCATTGCCTTCTTCTATGAGTGCTAGCGGGCTACATTTTATGAATTTTGCTGCCCCAATGGCTCTCTTGCCTGGCCAACAATCGAGTCTGGGCGGTGGTGGTAGTGGTGGCGGCGGCAGTGGGACGGTGGTGGCAGACAGGCATTTGGGGTTGCTGGCAGCGATCAATGGGTTTAGGCCAGTTGTGGCGGCAGGTGGTTCTGACTCTCAGGTAAGTGGGTTGAATTTGCATCATGGAGGAGATGATCGGCATGATACAAACAGTCATCACTCTTAGATCAATTAGAAGTGTATGGGTTTAGCGTTGGCCATGCAGTAAACTTTGGCGTTAAGATTTAAGGTCTTGACTTCGAATTATCTAAAAAAATAATTGGGGGTTAGGATTGTGCCCAAGCTGGTTCAAACACCTAATTATTATAAAAAAAAATAAAAATGTATGGATTGATGATGTTATTTTGTTTACATCTATTTGTACATGTATGGGCTTGGAAGTTGCAACAAGAAGCTCCAATCTTATTGCCTCGCATTTGAGTAATTTTGGGTTTTGAATATATGCCATTTTGGTGTGAGAATTTTAGGGTTTTGATGTGAGAAGTCTATGAGGAATAATGATATTGGCTAGTATTGGCTCAAGGCACCAAGGATCCTCTAGAGTGAAATTTTCCTAAAGTTTCCTAGAGTGTTACATTGTGTGGTTGAGATTTACTGACAAGTCACATCAATTTTTTCTGATGTGACTTGCCAATAAATCTCAACCACACAATGTAGCACTCTAAGGAAATTTTAGGAAAAAATTACTCTAGAGGATCCCTGCTCGGCTCAAGGTGTCTCCGTTGGTTGTGACTAACCATTAATTAAACAATCTCTTGCTATTTGTTTGTGTTTTGCTAATATTTTGAAGGCTTAGCTGTCATTTATATATGCTTTTAGGTTCAATAAAGAGACTAATATGATATACTGCTATGCATGCAAGCTTCCATTGTTAGCTTCTCAGTTACTCCCACCCTTGGGTTTTAGACTGTTTTAACAAACTCATAATGATAAGCTCTTTCTCTCTGTTTGAAGATATTGACTATTTTGTCTGCTAAATTGTATTATTACATAGTCTCCATGTAACATGTAGAGTTAGTAGCCTACGCAATCTTAAATCATAATTCACATTAAGTGGATTATTTTATCTCTCTTAACTATTTAAAAAAAGTGAGTCATCATCTTTAATTTATAAAAGAAATTTGTTATGTTACTCATTGAGGCCAACACGTAGAGAACGCCACATGATATTCCGGAATATTTAATAATTACTCCATTCGAGATGTCATTATATTTTTTATTTTTGATTATGACTAGTGCGTCCTAAGGTTTTAAATAGGGAGACAAATAAGTAGGATTTTAGATATTAACTAATGAGTAACAAAATTTTAGATTTTTAATATATGAGTTGATATCGTCTAATATATGATTATATCGACCATACCGATACATATCTGGATATTTTTTGTTTTTATTTTTAAAAAGATATTGAGAGCATCGGAAAAAGATATTGAGAGTACTGAATCTCATTTGGTAATTAACTATTTTAGTTAACTTTTTAATTTTTTATAAAAAAAAAAGTTTGAGAAAATAAAAAGAATTATGTGGTTAGGCGTTTTTTTTTCCGATTATTTTAATCAAAAAAAATTTGTCCTACGCGGATTGCTATCAAGTGATTTCTTATCAATTGAGACCATGTAGTTTTCAAACAATTCATATGCATATCAATAAATTTTTTTTAAAAAAATTAGGGAATTTGTGGATGCTTTTTAAAAATTCACAATCATATCATTCCAATTCACATATTTGCCCGATACTCCCACACTGCTACTACATCACAATTAATACCACTATTTAGAAGCATCTACACTCAAAAACTCATCATGTATCATGTGGTAGTAAGTGATTAAGTACATAGAATCAACCAAAACAATTTTTATGTTTTTTGCTAATAAAAAAAAAATTAATACATAGAAACAACCAAAAAATAAGACAGAAATATAGAGTTGAAGAATATGTATTTGGGTCCCATAGTGGAGATTTACTACTAGAAGGTTAAAAGTACACTGTTCTCTTTTTTTTTTTTTTTTTACACTGTTTTTTTTTTTTTTTTTTCTTTCTTTCTCTGTTTGTTAGTCCGTGAGCATAGATTTGAGATTGACTGGACAGAAATAAAGAGAGAAATAAAAGAACTGTTAGATCACCCAAAATTGTGGTTCTACATCTAAATGTTAATTTAATGATGATTCCACCAACCAATGGATTTCAGTTTTTTTACAATAGGGGGAATTACAACACAAAACAGAGAAAAAAAAAAATTACAAAAATATATGGGAGCAAGTGATTCTGTGATAAGGTGTAAATGAAAAGTTATGGAGATATAATTTCTATATTTGTGTAAAAAAAAAAAAAAAAAAAAACTATGTCACTAGGATGTAATACCCCCTTTGCTATATAAGCATCAGTAATTTTTTCTTTTTAAAAAAAGAAAAAAAAAAAGAACATAATTTTATTACAATAAGGGTGTGTTTGATTGGACAGATTGGATAAGAGAGATTAGAATTTATCGGACTTGAATTATTACAAAAATTTCAGGTTTTTGCGACGGCAACTCCTAATGCTGTCTCAACATTTTTTTAGCGACGGCAAAGGAGGGGTCATAACAGAGGGTGTTGCAAAAGCGTTTTACAGTCGTCTTTTTTTTGCAACAACAATTGTTACTTTTTGCAACGGCATTTTACTATCGCCTATAATATGTAAAAAAATTGAGACATTTTGCGACGGCAATGTTTTATCGTCGCTGAAAGTTTTATTTGAGATGGCAAAAAATGCTATCGCGAATTTTTTTTTTTTTTTTTTCAACGGCATGACCATTGTCGCCAATGGTTCTAATGTTTTTTGCGATGGTGTGGTGTCGTCGCAAAAAAAAATGCAAGAAAATTATTAAAAATATTAAAATTACCTATTTTTTGCAACGGTGTGGTGCCATCACAAAAAAAGAAAAAAAAAAAAACTACAAGAAAATTATTAAAAGTATTAAAATTACCTATATCAAATGAAAAACAATTGAAAAAGAAACCACTAATTGCATAATAATATAAAAATTCTTGTATAGAAATAACAATTTCTCTATAATAAAAATATTATTGCACTCATAACTACATATCAACAAAATTACACCACTACATAATGTTCCATAATACATACATAATGATTAAATACATAATGTTGTTCATAATTCAAAATAACACAAACCAAAATTAAAAGTTTTCCTCATAATTTTCCGTGGGTACCAAAAACAAAAGTTAGTCGTATTCTTCATAGGCATGCATTCCACAAGAAGCAAACTCCTACTCGGGAATATCTGAAAACAAAAAATAAAATAATTATTGACAAAATAATTATCTGTTAATATGTAAATTACAAAAAAAACATAAAAATTTAACTACTATACAATTACAAAGATAATTAAGTAAATAATTTTGCCTAGATAGAAATCCGGCTCTAATTCCCAAATCGGGAACTCGATTCGAGTTTTGTCTTCTACCACAAGTCTCTCGTGCCTAGGTGGTCGTGTGTGCCAAATTTCGTGCTAATTCGACGTCGTTTAGTGATTTTGGGGTGTCAACACATCCAATTCTAAGTTTCTTAAGGAATTAGTTTGCCTAAAGTGAAATCCGGTTCTAACTCCCAAACCGAGAATCCAATTTGAGTCCCGTCTTCTCCCACAAGTCTCTCGTGCCTAGGCGGTCGTCTGTACCAAGTTTCATGCTAATCTGAAACCGTTTGGTGATTTTGGGGCGTCAACACCTCGAATTCTAAATTTCTTAAGGAACTAGTTTGCTTAGAGTGAAATTCGGCTCTAACTCCCAAACCGGGAACCCGATTCAAGTCTTGTCTTCTCCCACAAGTCTCTTGTTCCTAGGCGGTTGTGTGTGCCAAGTTTCATGCTAATCCAACGCCGTTTGGTGATTTTGGAGCGTCAACACCTCGAATTCTAAGTTTCTTAAGGAACTAATTTGCCTAGAGTGAAATTCGGCTCTAACTCCCAAACTGGAAACCCAATTACGAGTCATGTCTTCTCCTACAAGTCTGTTGTGCCTAGGTAGTTGTGTGTCCTAAGTTTCGTGCTTATCCGACGCCGTTTGGTGATTTTGGGCCGTCAACACCTCGAATTTTAAGTTTCTTAAGGAACTAATTTGGCTAGAGTGAAATTCGGCTCTAACTCTCAAACCGGAAACCCGATTCGAGTCTCGTCTTCTCTCACAAGTCTCTCGTGCCTAGGAAGTCGTGTGTGCCAAGTTTCGTGCTAATGCGATGCTATTTGGTGATTCTGGGACATCAATACCTCGAATTCTAAGTTTCTTAAGGAACTAGTTTGCCTAGAGTGAAATTCGACTCTAACTCTCAAACCAGGAACCCGATTCGAGTCCTGTCTTCTCCCACAAGTCTCTCATGCCTAGACAGTCGTGTGTGCCGAGTTTCATACTAATTCGACGCCGTTTGGTGATTTTAGGGCGTCAACACCTCGAATTCTAAGTTTCTTAAGGAACTAGTTTGCCTAGAGTGAAATCCGGCTCTAACTCCCAAACCGGGAATCCGATTCAAGTCTCGTTTTCTTCCACAAGTCTCTCATACATAGGCGGGCTTGTGTGCCAAGTTTCGTGCTCATTCGATGCTGTTTGGTAATTTTAGAGCGTCAACACCTCCAATTCTAAGTTTCTTAAGGAACTAGTTTGCCTAGAGTGAAATCCGGCTCTAACTCCTAAACCGGGAATCCGATTCGAGTCCCATCTTCTCCCACAAGTCTCTCGTGCCTAGACGGTCGTGTGTGCCAAGTTTCGTGCTAATCCGACACTGTTTAGTGATTTTGGGACATCAACACCTTGAATTCTAAGTTTCTTAAGAAACTAGTTTGCCCAAAGTGAAATCTGGCTCTAACTTCCAAACCGGGAACCCGATTTGAGTACTGTTTACTCCCACAAGTCTTTCATGCCTAGGCTGTCGTGTGTGCCAAGTTTCGTGCTAATCCTACACCGTTTGATGATTTTAGGGCGTCAAAACCTCGAATTCTAAATTTCTTAAGGAACTAGTTTGCCTAGAGTGAAATCCAGTTCTAACTCCCAAACCAAAAACCCGATTCGAGTCTCGTCTTCTCCCATAAGTCTCTCGTGCCTAGGCAGTAGTGTGTGCCAAGTTCAATGCCAATCTGATGTTATTTGGTGATTTTGGGACGTCAACACCTCGAATTCAAAGTTTCTTAAGGAACTAGTTTGCCTAGAATGAAATCTGGCTCTAACTCCCAAACCGGGAACCCGATTCGAGTCCTGTCTTCTCCCACAAGTCTCTCGTGCCTAGGCGGTCATGTGTGCCAAGTTTTGTGCTAATTCGACGCGGTGTGGTGATTTTGGGGGGTCAACACCTCGAATTCATGAGGCTGAAAAAGAATGACAAAAATGTTACTTGAAACCTTTTCATGAGGTTGAATTCAATGTTAATGGTAGACATGACCTTTTACACCTTGTGTTTTTCTTCTTTGTGTGGTTAAATTCT